AAAACACAAATAGCCGCACAACTTGGGAGGAGAGGAATTGATGGGTGGGGGGCTGGGTTGCCTTCTGCCCCCCCGGAATGTCTTCACGCCCCCCAGTTTGGGAACCCAGGCTCTAGTAAGTGAAATCTGAGACAAACACGCAGAAGAGACACAGGCTGGTGCTTAAAAGCCCTGCCCTGGGATTCCCACAGGAGCTGGATTCACACCTTTGCTCTGCTACTGATTTCCTGTGTGAGCGTGGGGAAGCCACTCCTCTCTGGGTCTGCTGATGGGGAGCCGGGGAAAGGGGGCAGCTGCCCCCTCTGTCTGGCCATTCAAAAGGAGCCTCCAGCCGCTGCCACCACAGCACCAGAGCCCTTTAAATCTCCGCCGGAGCACGGGCCTGGGTGTTCCGCACGGCTCTGAGGGCTGCCTGGTGGCGGGGAGGGAGAGCCGGTGTGGTGCTCCAGCTCCGCCCCTCTAGCCTGAGGCTCCGCCCCTTCCAGGAGCACAGAGCTGGCCCCCACCCACCTTGTCCAAGGGCCCGGAAAGTCGATTGCTCCTCCTGCCCGCCCCGCTCTATGTTCATTTCTCCATCTGTAAAATGAGGATCATTCTTCTTGGCTGTGTCTGTTTACTATGTGCATGGTAGGCCAAGCACGACAGAGCCCTGATTTTAGCTGGCACCTCTGGGCTGATATAAATAATACAAGTTCACAACTGGCTTTTCCCGTTCAGTGTCCTCTTCTCCCCTACAGCCTTCAGTGTAGTCTGCCGAAGAAGAAGGGGGAAACGTACTGGATTCCCCCCCCCCCCACAAGAGTTACGCAATTTCAGCTAAATTCATTAAGCATGAAACCGACATGCTTTGTGAAATGCACCAAATTCCCCCAATCTGATTAAGTTGAAAGCTGAGAGTTTATTTGTTACCTAACCTCCTCTGAAAAGCAGAGCATGCTGGGGTACTGAAAATCATTGCGACTCCCCTGAAACATCTAGGACATGGGTTCCCAAACTGGGGGACATGAAGAAATTCCAGGAGGGGTGCGAGGCAACCCAGCCTCTGTCCCCCACTCCCATCTAGTTTTGCTGCCCTAGTCAGTTTCTTTTTTTGGGGCTCAACAAGCTTTGCTGCTATTTTTGGGGAGGGAGGAGGGGAGAGGGCATAAGGATTTTTCAAAAAAAAAATCAAAAAGGGGGCGTAATGCCAAAAAGTTTGGGAACCACAAATCTAGGGGGATAACCCCACCTCCACCAGGTCTCTCATTCCCCACAAGAGGCCGTAGGGAAGTCACTAAAATGAGGGAAGTTATTAGCCAACTTCTTATGAACTCCTTCCTTTCATATCACCACATCACCGACTGCAGCAATGTATAGAAAATGGAAATCTCTCGGATTTCAGATGAATTTTGTCTTAATCTTAGCGTACATCTATACAGCAACATTATTTTGAAATAACTAGTGTTATTTCAGAATAACTTAGTCCGTGTCTACACAGTAAGCAGTTATTTCAAAATAATGTCGAAATACTGTCAAGCTGGAGGACTTCTAACTCCGACTCCTGTAACCCTCAGGCTACGTCTACACTGGCCCCTTTTCCGGAAGGGGCATGTTAATTTCAGCTATCGTAATAGGGAAATGCGCGGGGGATTTAAATATCCCCCGCGGCATTTAAATAAAAATGTCCGCTGCTTTTTTCCGGCTTTTAGAAAAGCCGGAAAAGAGCGTCTACACTGGCCCCGATCCTCCGGAAAAAGTGCCCTTTTCCGAAGGATCTTATTCCTACTTTGAAGGAGGAATAAGATCCTCTGGAAAAGGGCTTTTTTTCCGGAGGATCGGGGCCAGTGTAGACGCTCTTTTCCGGCTTTTCTAAAAGCCGGAAAAAAGCGGCGGACATTTTTATTTAAATGCCGCGGGGGATATTTAAATCCCCCGCGCATTTCCCTATTACGATAGCTGAAATTAACATGCCCCTTCCGGAAAAGGGGCCAGTGTAGACGTAGCCTCATTGTACGAGGAGTAAGGGAAGTCGGCAGAAGAGCGCTGTATTTCGAAATAAGTGTTGTGTCGATGCTCCCTATTTCAAAATAAGCTACACAATTGACGTAGCTCAATTTGCGTAGCTTATTTTCTGTTAAGCCCTGCTGTGAAGATGCACCCTTAGGCTGTGTCTACATTGGCAAGATTTTGCGCAAAAGCAATTGCTTTTGCGCAAAAACATGCTGCCTGTCTACACTGGCGGGGAGTTCTTGCGCAAGAACACTGACGTTCTACTGTGTGAAATCAGGGCTTCGTGCACAAGAACTATGATGCTCCCACTCAGGAATAAGCCCTCTTGCACAACTGTTCTTGTGCAAGAGGCCAGTGTAGACAGGCAACGTGAATTTCTTGCACAAGAAAGCCCGATGGCTAAAATGGCTAGTGGAGCTTTATTGCACAAGAGAGCGTCTACACTGGCACGGATGCTTTTGCGCAAAAGCACATGCCGGTGTAGACGCTCTCTTGCGCAAATACTTTAACACAAAAACTCTTGCGTGAAAAGTATTTGCGCAAAATCTTGCCAATGTAGCCGTAGCCGTAGTGTTTTCTATAAAGCCCATCACTGGATTTATTAAGGACATTTTATCAATCAGTGATCCCCTTTGATATTTCTCTCCTCTTTGTGATGAAGCAAAGGGTTAAGGGATCGATCAACTACCCACTGAAACCAAGCGAACACTAACGTCAGTGTTGGATCTGATCCCAAGTGGAATGTAAGGATCACACAAAAACTTCATGTCTTCGCCCTGCGTTCCTAGGCAAACGAGAGCTGATAATTGAGTAGCTAGCTCTCTGCTTTGCTCACCGTAATACCGCAGGGAGTAGGGTGAGTTTCTCATAGGGAGGAAAATAAATCAATTTAGTACAGTAGCACTTTGGATAAAAATGGCAGAGCAGCAACGTTTCTGGGGCCACCAACCATCGGGAAAGGCTCCCCGTGCAAACAACACGGGAAAGGAAATGACACACAGAGGTTACGTCGCACCAGAAGCCCGGGGAAGCGAAAGCAAGGCCACAAGGCAGAACGGTGAATAGGATACGTGTCTTTCAATGATGCCTCGAAGAGGAAGCGTAGGTTTTCTCACAGAAGTTCTCTGCACCCACTCAAGTGTCCCACCCTTTCCAGGCGCCCTTCCCTCCACCGCTGCTCCAAGTAGCGGTCCAAGCAGTGTACGATCTAGCCTCGCATCTCCCTGCAGACCATGGGGTTCGGAGAGATCTCAGGGAAGTCAGGTGGGTCAGCGCTGAGACCAGGACACCCCACGGCAAGCTAGCGCGGGGCTGTCTACCCGGGCTGGGCAGCTCACTCGCAGCGGTAAGGCCAACCCACCTTTGGAAACCAGCTGTTCCAGAAACGTAATGCATCTGCACCAACAGCCTTTCCTGCCCATCTGCCCCATGGCCCGCCCTCCCCCCCTACGCAGAACCACATGGGTCTCACCTGGCTGTGCTCTCTCGCCCGGACGCTGGTGTTTCGGGGGGGGCGGGCTCAGCTGCCACCTGAAAGAGATTGTATCAGCTTGGTCCTTTGGGAGGCCGTGGCCGGTGGAAAAGAGACCACGGGCCACTGCGTTCCCCATCGCAGAGATGCCGCTCAACGAGAACCGTGTGCACAGCGCCCGACTGATTCCCCGCCCCTACAGCCATGTGGGCCCTTGCAACTCTCAGGCAGGCCGACGTTTCCATCCAAGGGACCTCACAAATCCACCCCCCGAGCAGCCCTGCTAGGCCGCCCCGAGTTCCCAGGTGGACGATGCTGGGTTGATGGAAGAATTCTTCCAGCGACCTTGCCCCCATCTCTCAGGGAGGTGGGTTATCTACCCTGAGAGGTGCCCCTCTTCCGGGAGGTGTAGATGGTTTCTAGGCTGGGGGCTGCAGCAGCGCAGCTGTGCCTTTGTTGCGTTTCATAGAACAGGACGCTAGAACTGGAAGGGACCTCGAGAGGTCATCAAGACCAGTCCCCTGCCGTCACAGCAGGACCAAATACTGTCTAGACCATCCCTGACAGGTGTCTGCCCAACCTGCTCTTAAATATCTCCAGAGATGGAGATTCCACAACCTCCCTGGGCAACTTATTCCAGTGTTTAACCACCCTGACAGGTAGGAAGTTTTTCCTAATGTCCAACCCAAACCTCCCTTGCTGCAGTTGAAGCCCATTGCTTCTTGTCCTATTCTCAGAGGCCAAGGAGAACAATTTTTGTTTCTTCTTTGTAACACCCTTTTAGGTGCTTGAAAATCGCTATTATGTCCCCCTCTAAGCCTTCTCTTTCCCAAACTCAACAAGCCCAGTTCTTTCAGCCTTCCTTCACAGCTCAGGTTTTCTAGACCTTTCATCATTTTTCTTGCTCTTCTCTGGACGTTCTCCAATTTCTCCACATCTTTCTTGAAATGTGGTGCCCAGAACTGGACACAATACTCCAGCTGAGGCCTAATCAGTGTAGAGCAGAGTAGAAGCATGACTTCTCGTGTCTTGCTCACAACACTCTGGTGAACGCAGCCCAGAATCATGTTTGCTTTTTTTTTTTTTTGCAACAGTGTCCCACTATTGACTCCTTGTGGTCCACTCTGACCCCTAGATCCCTTTCCGCAGGGCTCCTGTTTGAAGGGTGGGCAAGCCCCAAGTGGTCACACTTTTAGATTAACACGCTGCATTCAGTGGACACACTCACGAAGCTTTTACCCGACTGGCTTTGGAACCCAGTGCTGCACCAAACGCAGCTCTAATTATTCCACCCTGCGCAGCTCAGCCTTTTGCAAGCACAGGGCATGTTTACTCTACCCGATGCAAGCAGCCAGCCTGGGATGCGGCTGGGGCGCTAGAGGGGATGCTGATGCAGCAAGAAAAATCTCGTGGCACAAGGGGGCGGGGTCCGAGGTTTCCCTAGTCTTTGCGATCACTACACTCTGCCGTGGGCTGCCCAACGTATGCTCCTCCTGGAGGTGTCTCAGCCCTTCAGCTGGCTGCCCAGCCCCGCTCTCGAGGGAACCAGACACCTCACCCTCCAACTACAGCCAGAAACTGCCGTTGCCCGCTACCGCCACACCAAAGAAGAGGATCAGCACGCCAGGGCAACACGAGCAGAAGGCAGGGTGTGTTAGCCATGGCGATACAGCTTTCAGGCCTGGGTCTGTGCTCCAGAGAGTGTTTGGGGCTGTGTTCCCCTGTCTGACTTTTGATATTCTTTTATCCTTACTAACCTGTGTGGACAAAGACCACAGACCCTGGCTGTTGCACATGCCCACAACTAGACGGGGTTTTTTACATAATGAGGAAAGAGTAGGAATAGAAAGAGAAGGAACAGAGCTAAGGAGCTGCTGGATACGGTGGGCATTTGATATATGAATGCACAATTCCTCTCACAATCCTAGATACTAAAATGGGAAGGGAACTCAAGAGGTCATCAAGTCCAGCTTCCTGCCCTCATGGCAGGACCAAGCACCGTCTAGATCATCCCTGACAGGTGTCTGTCCAACCTGCTCTTAAATATCTGCAGAGATGGAGATTTTCCCAGGCAATGTATCCCAGGCTACGTCTAGACTGGCATGATTTTCCGCAAATGCTTTTAACGGAAAAGTTTTCCGTTAAAAACATTTGCGGAAAAGAGCATCTAGATCGGCAGGACGCTTTTCCGCAAAAGCACTTTTTTGTGGAAAAGCGTCCGTAGCCAATCTAGATGCGCTTTTGCGCAAAAAAGCCCCGATCGGCATTTTTGCGATCGGGGCTTTTTTGCGCAAAACAAATCTGAGCTGTCTACACTGGCCCTTTTGCGCAAAAGCTTTTGCCCGAACGGGAGCAGCATAGGATTTCCACAAGAAGCACTGATTTATTACATGAGATCATCAGTGTTCCTGCAAAAGCGACGAGGAGTCCTGTGGCACCTTATAGACTAACTGAAGTGTAGGAGCATAAACTTTCGTGGGCAAAGACCCACTTCGTCAGATGCATGTGCCCACGAAAGCTTATGCTCCTACACTTCAGTTAGTCTATAAGGTGCCACAGGACTCCTCGTCGCTTTTGCAGATTCAGACTAACACGGCTACCCCTCTGATACTAGTGGATATGTCTACAGAGTTTTGTCAGACAAACAGCCATTTTTCCGACAAAACTTCAGGAACATCCACACTGCAATCGTGGTGTTCTGCAAGAAAATGGAAAG